ATCTTTAAAATATATGTGATTTTTCTATACAAAGAAAGACAACTCATCCGAGAGTACAAAAGAGGCAAATAATTTTAACCTCCCCATTTCGTATTGAATGCCACACATAATCGATCCCTACAGAGCATGATGCATGTTTTGTGCACTTCTTTATTAATAGTTGTTGTTTTATATAATTATATTATGATTTATCCAATACCTATTTAAGTTGTAGTCTGTGTGTTTCTCTTTCTTCATCTGCTCCTTTTTAGTTTTTAAGTTTCTATGCATCAAATAAGGGGCGTCGGTGACCAAGTGGTTAAGTTCGTTTACTTACAACTGCTTGTCCCTGATCCGTGTGGATTCGAATCCCGCCAGGGACTTTTGGTTAATTCATTTGAGGAAGGTTACGGAACGTCGCTGACTCCATTCACGCGCCAGCTCGTGTCTGCAATATTGTATGGAGGGGCACTTAGGATCATAAAATCATTATTAATGCTTGAAAAATGCCATATGACATAAAAGAGTCGGTTTCACATAAAACACAATAAAGTAAAAATATTGTCCAACAAATAAAGAAAATTCACATCACATGTATGTATCAAAATTACACTGTATCAAAACCAATTTAAAAAGCGGTTTAATGCAGCGTCGGCACGATATGGCCAGTAATGTGTTGACGTGCCGTAAAAATCCAAACAAACAAAACAAAAAAAATGCAGCGTTCACACGCAAAATGTATACGTTCGTACCATCTTGTTACTGTATTTTGTTTTATACTGCGAATTTAAATTGAAAATATCACGCCTTCCCAGTTTGTTTCACTTAAAATAGTTTGAATAAAAAACATACATGAGTGCCAATTACAGCGGCACCGACACAGCCAGTAAAACCGAATTACTATGACATGTTTAAAAGTAATTTTGTACTTATTTAGTACGGCAAACGGGCTGTAATAATATCAAGGAAAACAAAAAAGAAACTGTAAGGGAAACGTTCAATAGGAAAATAATTAAAACAAGAAAACAATGAGCATTTATAATATTATAATATGTGCCACTAAAAAGGCATAAGCTTTAACGGATGAACACCCAACGCTTATGATATTGTAACTTGACTTTTTCGACAATTTTACCAAATGGTATTAAGTAAAATAGCAGTGATATCCTGGTGTTCAATCATCGGTGTATATAGTTTATGATTATCCAATGAAAGCAACGTTACAAATGTGTAGTATTTTTGTTTTAAAGCTATATTAATAATACAATGGTTAGGATACTACGTCATCGCGCGTCTGCTGAATGCTCCCACTTGGACCATTTTTTCGTCGTCTCGAAGGTAAAATACAATTTTATTATAAGAAAACGTAAGAGTATTAAAAAAATCATGTAGCGCACCAAAGAATGGCTATAGTACTTGAGATAATTGTAGAAAAAGTTTATAAAATTATTGCCTGGTTTAGGCATGAAAACGGGATAAGTGTTTTTCTCTGAATGCTCCCACTCGGACTTTTCCCGAAACATATATGAAATAAGGTTGAAATTTTTTATGTACCGGAATATAAACCGAGTCATGTTTACACATTTTTCCAGATAAGTTTCAAATATTTCTATTCAAAAGTCATTTTTTTAAAGTTTTTTTTTTATAAAAATGGAAAATGCTCCCATTCGGACTCGATTTCAGAGATGCTCCCACTCGGAGCCAAATATATACATTTTGGAAGCACATTGCTGTGTTAAGTTTTTATGGATTATTCTGACAATTTTTACACCATTTTGTCAATAAATAGTCTACTGTGTTTGACAACATTAACTTTTCCTTCTTTTTACAGAGATCACTTCTTTGATTATGAAGAATTACGTCGCTGGGCAGGAACAAGGTGCCATGGCAAAGTTTCAACTGACAGGATCACTATACAAAAAGGTGAACTTGGCTTGTGATGGATCCGAAGGGATGATTCAAAATTATTGCCAACAACAAAGCTAGGAATATAAGACTTTAAATGGACAGTTTGGATCACAATAATAAAGTTTTGTTTAGATGTTTAAAAAATGGTGGTGTTTTATAAAGAAGTCATGATACATCGTTTAGTTTCATACTGGATTAAGATTCTGTTGGACTCGTACACATATTAGAGGCCTGCATTTATTCAATAATTGCTGACTTTAATATCTTGTTAATAATTTAAAACCCAATGTTTTGCGTGTTTGTTAAACTTGTGATTTAGATTTTAAAACAAAATAATGGTACGTTTATGAACATATCGAAGTCAATTTCTATCCGTTGATTTGAATAGTTTATTAAAGAACAACATGTAAATCTTTTCTTTTTTTTTCATGAACTGGGTAAAAAATCAATGTACTGCCATACCATGGCACATAAAGCATGCATCACAATTATTGACAACTTTGACAATTTTAAGTATGAAAGTTATCATGTGTACGTATTATACCTATAATAACAATATTAAATAAATAAGAAAACAAATATCACAGTTATTTCTTTATCACAGTCTTTAAATTAAAGATCATGTAAGGTATATTTCAGATTGTTATCAATTGAAATTATATATATATGTATATAATTATGCTACTAAAACAATTTCCAAACATTAAGGAATATGCAAAATACGTACTGCAAATGCTTGTCCACATTATATGTAATCATTAAAATATAGATTTTCAAGATTTTATTCCAAATACATGTGGGTATTATACCCATGAACACACAGCATATATACAAACATACATACATACAGAAACATACTATCAAGGTTATTAAATATATATAACATATATTTAACATTTACTGTATATTTGAGTCATAAGTTTGCTTTAATATGAACAGAATAACATATTACAGCAAGGTTCAAATGAAGCACAGGTTTTGCATAATGATATCAATTAAGTAACATTACATTTACCTTCCTAGGTACTATAATATACGAATATTCAACATTTGTTCTTAATTCAAACATTTTAAAGATAAACATTGATAATTTTCTTATGTATTTTCATTTTGAGATGTTAACAATTCAATAAATTTTGGTATATTTGGTTTTTTCTAATAATATTTATCTATGAGCTGTTTTCTCAAAACATTGTATTGTGGACATTCTAATAATACATGAAATTCATCTTCTAGTTTTAAGCAAATATTACATTTTCTTTCATTATAAGGAATTGCTTCAGGTTTGTGCCATCTACCAGTTTCTACTTTTAATCTATGCGAAAAAGTCCTGAAACGTGATAAAGATTTCCTAAATTTTTCAATATTAACCATTGACAGATATGACTTAAAACCAAAATCACAAAATAATACATAACTTCTTGCTCTTGATGAATCTCTTAAAGTTGCATACCAATTTTGTATAAATGTATCTGTTAATCTTTGTTTTACTACTGCTAAAATAAATTTATATCACCAACGCCCTGATTAATCCATACTTCATTGAAACCTAAAGATTGTAACAAAATCATAACAGACTTAGCCCAGGACTTTGAATTCGGTTTAAGTTCTAAATCTCTACACATAAGATCATATACAACTTTGACATATTTTGTACTACTTTACTGAACAACTTTTAACCAGTATTTTATAACATTAATAGCTCTCATTGTTTTTAAAGATGTCCTTCCAAGTTCAAAATAGATAAAATTGTTTTGTGTTTGTCTTTTAACTCCTAACAACTTCTTACAATACTTTAAATGAATATTTTCTAAAACATGACTATCAAGTAAACCCCATATTTGTGATCCATAGTTAAGAATTGGTAAAATAAGTTTATCAAATAAATCCAGTTTATGTTTAACTGACATACAAGGGAATCTTATCAGCTCTTTGTCAAGTTTATACAACGCCTTCAATGCTTGTCCAGAGAGTATTTCAAAAGTCATATTAAAAGATCCACCAACAGAAAAAAACAATGCCTAGATATGTAAACTTTTTAACTATTTCAATTGACTGACCTTTATAATAAAAATTCAAATTCTGTCTAAGTCTACCCCCTTTTTCTTAAAATCAAAACCTTTGTCTTTGTACAGTTAACACTTAATTTACACCTATCACAATATATTTCTAATAATCTTAAACCTTTTTGTAAGCCCTCCTCTGTTTCAGACATAATCACTATATCATCTGCATACAATAATAAAAATACCTTTAAAATACCTAAGTCAATACCTTCAAAACAATTTAACATAAAATATTCATAATTATATACATGTATGCATTCATTGTTTATTGAAGATTTCAACTTACACTTAATAGAAAATATATTTCTAATTACCTCCCTTTATGAAATATAAATTCGGTATTATCTTTACAAATAATGCTTTTTGGAACAAACAATATTCATAAATCTTCATTTAAGCATTATATTTATGATATAAAACCATAGAAAATTGATTTCAGGATATTTTAATGACGTTAAAATAATAACAATCATACAAGAAGGAAACACAGACAGTAAAATTCCCCGCCGGAAAGGAGGAAATACATGTCATATTTGGAGCAACTATAGCTAAAATGCCCTGGGCCATGGTATTTCTTCAAAATATAGTTTAATAATGAAAGGAAAATAACTCATGTTGTAATGTTTCCATATATGAACTCTCCCAATTTGAGCGGGCGACACGTTCTTTCTCCTGTCAAATTTTTAAATGTTTTTCTTAGAATAATCTCTCTTCATTTTCATTTCAAAATTTCCTGTCAATTAAAAAATCTTGCTCTTTTTTTTAAAGTAAATTCTCCCTCTTTGAAAAAAAGTTCACATGTATGTACATGCTATGCATATAAAAAAATTAATGTCTTAATGTCATAAACTGTTTTACAGAGATCTGAGGTCAATGAGCTTTGTATACCTAGAATTCAGATGGGCATTGCATCATTCTAAGGTTCATTTGTAGGTCAATCTAGAGAATTTTCCCCAAGGCCTAAAGTAATGTTTCATTTGTTTCTCGTACCTTACTAACTTAGAGAAAGCACATTTCAATAAATATCGGGACACACTATTGACCTACGTGCGGACAACCACCACCATGCGTACAACCACCACCATGTAGACCACCACCACCATAGAGAACACCATCACCATGCAGACCACTACCACAATGCAGACCACTTACATGCCGACCACCATCACCATGCGGATCACCACCAACATGCGGACCACCACCTCCATGCTGACCACCTCCACCATGTGGAACACTACCACCATGTTGACCACCTTCACCATGCAGACCACCACCATCATGCAGACCACAACCACCATGTGGACCACTACCACCATGCTGACCACCTTCACCATGCAGACCACCACCACCATGCGGACCACCACCACCATGCGGATCACCACCAACATGCGGACCATCTCCATGCGGACCACCACCACCATGTCGACCATTACCACCATGCTGTCGACCATCAACATGCGGTCGACCGCCAGCATAAGGTTCACCACCACCATGCGGACCACTACCACCGTGCGGACCAACACCTCCATGCAGATCATGGCCAGCATGCGGACCACCACCAGCGTGATGTCCACCACCAACATGCGGACCACCACCAACATGCGGACCACCACCAGCATGCGGACCACCACCAGCATGGGGAACATCACCAACACGCGGAGACCACCGCCAATATGCGGACCGCCACCAACATGCAGACCACCAACTTGCGGATCATCACCACCATGCGGACCACCATAATCATGTGGACCACCACTGCCATGTGGACCACCGCCAATATGCGGGCCACCACCAACATGCGGACCGCCATCAACATGCGAACCACAACCACCATGTGGACCACCACCACCATGCAGACCGCCACCACCATGCGGACCACCACCACGGCCATGAGGACCACCACCACCATGCTGATCACCACTGCTACCATGCGTACCACCACCGCTACCATGCGGACCACCACCACTGCTACCATGCTGATCACCACCGCTACCATGCGGACCACTACTACCATACGCATTTATATATAAATATATAAATGGGTTTATAGACAATTTACAATACAATTTAAAGAAACATGTAAATAATGCCCTTGTGTCAATGTTAATGTAGTTTTTATCTACTATATAATCAAATTTATTTCAAATCACAAAAAAGAACAATAATGATAATAATATTAAAAACAAAAAATGATTTAATTTAGTTATTCCTCGCTAAAAATATGCATGCCACATTATTGACACAAAAGTTTGCAACCCACAAGATTTGAAATAAATTTGATTATATAGTAGATAAGTAATAGAAAGGGCACCGAAACACGAGGCTATCTGATTTGTACGAGGGATACAAAAACTATATTGTATCATAGTTTGGAGACCTTTCTGTTGAAAATGTGTCAGGGTTAAATCGTATACATATACATGCACAGTGCGTTAACTGGAGTGCGGGTATTAGTAACCCGCACTCCAGAGCATGCCCATTGATTGGCTAATTTTTGCTGGGGTTTACATATTGTGACGGCAGAGAAAGGGAAAGCGACAGAAATGTCATATTCAGATGTTCGTTCATTGGTTCATTTTTGCCGGGGTTTCATATTGTGACAACAGGGAACGTGCTTTTATGTTTGACTATGATACAAAAGAAAAAGAACACCAAAACACTCGGCAATCTGATTAATACTCGGGGGCTACGCCCCCTCGTACAAATCAGATAGCCTCGTGTTTCGGTGCTCTTTCTATTACTTAACATTGACACAAGGGCATTATTTACATGTTTCTTTAAAATGTTCCTTATTATTGACCAATCGAAACATTTTCCAAATTCCCTTACTCGAACAATGACTTTAAGTAGTTTTGTCACGTATCAGTCAATGTAAATAACCAATCGTATATCATTTTTACTATGATCTAATAATCAAAATCACCTTTAGAATACCAATTGACATATGATGTACATCAAATCCGAAATCTTGTAAACAAGCATGTTATTTTAACTTTTGGTTTGTAAAAATATTTTAAGTACATTTACATACTTTATGTCTAAAGCAACTGCTGATCTTTACATACGAAACAAACAAATTAACATTTCTTGTGGTTTTGATAAACTTTGGAAATTTTGCCGAGTAATATCGTATGTGTGCACATGTCCTTATGTTTATGATGAAAATTAATCTTACATGCAACAGTACTCTCACATACGTTTGTTTTGTATGTAGTTTTCATTTGCATTTTACATATGATGACATATTTTAGAATTGAAGTACCAATAAATATTTTTCTATATGCTATTATTTGGTTTGCAGGCTTTTACTGATGATTATAGTATTGAACTGAGAACCATGTAATTTGAAACATAAAGTGCATAATTGTTGTAAAAGAAGAAAGTATAAATAACATTTATAACAAAAACAAGTAACAGAAAATAAATGTAAATAATTGCCATTGAAAATAGGTTAATAAATATAACTTTCTACACTCCTTTTGCAAAGTTTTACTATGGATTTCAATAGAATAAGAATAAGTTTGCAACCAAAAATGCTCGAAGCATAAGTCTGCAACCAAAATGTGCTTGAACAAGATATTTTTGTGTATTGAACGTTATCTTCGGACTTGCGAACTAAACCATTTGTACAGCATTGACAGAAACATATTTTGTTATTGTTAAATGCAGTTCAAAACTTACAAATTCGAATAAATTAGGAGAAAAACCGACCAGAACAGTCACATTTCAAATTTCAAAATATCTACATGATCAATTTATATCTTCTATAACTTCGTCAAAACAGAATCTAGGATACTGAAACCTTTAACCGAGTGTGGCATATATATTGCATTATGGAATAGACATAGTAATGAACTTCAAAATAGCAAAGAAACCCACTTGCCTGGCAAAATTAGTTCACCAGTTTCAAAAAATCACGCCGTGTTCGCCATTTTGTCAAGTTTGCAACTAATTCGCTCGCTTGAACCAAGTGTGCTACCACTTCACGTCCTGCCCCTTGTTTCTACAAGTTTATTTTTTAAAAAAATATTTCTATAATCACTGAAAAACAGTTGTTTCTGGTGAGCGGTTCAGGGCCATCATGGCCCTCTTGTTTTTCTTATTCTTAGGCCGATAACTGATCCTCTAAGAAGACATATTTACGAGACTGTTATTATTAGATATGTCACAACTTTATATTAGTATCGTATTTTCATTGAATTCTAACTGATTGTATGAATATATGAACGTGTTATAAAGATATTTTGAAAACATAATAATATCTTAACACAGCAATGTGCTTTAAAAAATTATATATATTAAGGTCCGAGTGGGAGCATTGTCCATTTTTATAAAATGAATTAAGAAAAAAGTACTTCTGAAACTAATATAGAATAATGGGTAAACTAAACATGACTCGGTTTATGTTCCGGTACGTTAAAAATAATTTTCAAGAAGGTTTTCAACCTTATTTCATATATGTTTCGGGAAAAGTCCGAGTGGGAGCATTCAGAGAAAAACACTTATCCTGTTTTCATGCCTAAACCAGGCAATAATTCTATAAAAAAAATTTGTAATTATCTCAAGTACTATAGCCATTCTTTGGTGCGCTACATGATTTTTTAATACTCTTACGTTTTCTTATAATAAAATTGTATTTTACCTTCGAGTCGACAAAAAATGGTCCAAGTTGGAGCATTCAGCAGGTGCGCGATGACGTAGTATCCTACCATTGTAATAGGGCCCGTAAGTCTCGATTACTTTCACTTTTGATTTACCACTTCCGGGTACATCGGCAGACTTATTTACCGTTACGCATATAGGTAACCGAAGAACTCGAGGGATATAGAAGTTAAATTTGTTTCGGTCCTCTTCAGATTTGAAGGAATGGATAGCACGGGTCAAAAAATGCAGGTAGGTCAATTATCTGACGGAAAAACGAGGGATTTATAGAGTTTAATAAAACTAGTTTATTTTCGGATAGTGACAATTATTTCGGATGTTTTGACCAGGTAGTGAATTCTAGTTGTTTAGCTTTTAGTATTGTTTTTTAAAACTACTGATGTGAGAAATTAATTCAAACCTTTTAACTTATTAAAATAAACAATGGAGAAACACTTTAATTCTAGTGTATATTTAAGTTATACAAAATTCGGACATTGCACAATAATTCGGATATTTTTTCCCTTCCATTTTATTCTTGTTCCTTTTTCAATTATATATACATGTTAATATGGTACCTAGCAAATTATGATTGAATTAAAAAATATAATATTTGATTAAACCATTTCAGATGTATAGACAAGGAGGTATATGACAAGTATAGAATATACAGTTGTTCAATATGGACCATTTATCAACTGTTTGCACTGCGTATGGTCCTGAAATATCTATACATCAAAGGTAAATACATGTAAAATAATTGATTAATTTTTAGTTGAGATCGGAAAGATAAACAATTATCAAAATATATTAATAACTTTTGGATTTCACTGCATGATAATTGATAAGTAAATAAAACATTAAAAATAGTCATGTTTCACATTCAAGAAGATCAATATTTTTGACTGTTATATATTATGTGTTGTTGTTTATCTTTAATGTTTATTTACTTCAAATATGAAATTTTTCTGTCAATCATGACCAGCTTATTAAATGTAATGTAAATATCATTTCTAGTGTCTTACACTTGTAACAACATATTTATTGATTTTTCATTCTGCAGATAAAAAGGGAAAAGATGACGGAGGATTTGTCCATGAAGACCTTTATTGCAACTACCATCTTCCAGTTCCTTAATTTGAGAATGATATCAGAGAACACACAGTTACATTGAAATATTAGTTTAATAGAAGCCACTGAGAATAGTCAAATGTACTTTCCTGAAGAAGATGAATGACATCCAGCACAAAAATCTTAATGTATAAAGCGTATGATTTTATGGTGTTTGACACTATGATCTTGTTAACATGTTAATGTCACAATGATAGAAACAGAGTAAAATATCCACATTTCATTGCAGTTTTAAGTATTAAAACTAGATACTCTATATATACCAAAGCTGATAACACACCAGAGATAAGGTTTTTCATGGAATCACAGTATAGTCATATGACATTATGGACATTAAATGACTATGAAGTAAAGATTAGCAAAAATATTATATATCATCTACTACTAATATTGTGAGGTAATCATTGATAAGCTCACAAATTTGCATTCAAAGCTTTGATATCAAGCTGAACATTTTTCAATTAGAATATGATTTATAACTCTATGATAATTTGTTCATGTTAATTTTCAAAGTCTTTACATTTGTAAAAGGAAATATTCTTATTCTTGTATCAGTAGACATTCACAGTGTAAAGTTACATTGTTCAAATAACTAATAATAATTCCAAGTGCTTTCCTGAAGTTTTTCTTCCACTGGAAAATCAGTGTGATATATATGCTAAGCAGTGCACTATAAATTGTGTAAAAATAAAAGTTTATTAAACTTATGAACTGTTTTTGCTTCTACTATTTGGCATATATTTATAGCAGTGCTTGATCATAAGAGTTCATCTGCAAAATAAGTGTCACTGTGTACTTTTATTCTCTAACAGCAATGGCCAGATTGCTTGAATATGCAAGCATTGACTATATTCAATACTATGCATGTCATTTGAATTTTGTCTGTCCTGAAATCGAAACAGACACTATCTAAATAATATTGATGAAAAGTTCTTGACGGCTCTTCAATGACTACATTTACACATATGTACATGGACAGAAATTAAAAGCATTGTGTGGTGTTTTTTTTTTTTAAACATTGACAATTTTGAAACAGTTCTAATGGGTATATTAATGTATCAGTGATGTAATTGTTTTGCATCAAGTGCAAACCCTAAGTTTTGCATGTATTGTACATGTATAGATAATTCACTTTTGGTCAAATGTCAACAGGTTCAATACATTATAAAACAGGTAATTTGAAACCCAAAGAAGTATATGGTATGTAATAACTACCCCTCTGATACTAAAATCTTCAAGGAATGCAGAATTGCAAGTCTTCTCCAATTAAGAGAGAGACTTGGGCTTACAAGGGCTAGCAAGCTAGTGGTTTGCTACAGAATACTCAACACAGATGAATTGCATTAATATTGTTTACTCTGGTATTACTACCTGCCATGTACAATGCTAATCATGGCTTTTCTAAGAGCAGTGAAAGGCTATAACATGAAGGAATTTTACACATCTTGCCTCAGAAACAAGTTTTTCTTTGAGATGATTTTTATGATATTTAAATAATGGTTAAAGATTACATTACTTTTACAATTGCAGTGATCATGGTGATAATATGAAATGAAACTCAATCAAGATAGAAACATTTTAATGCTGAACATTTATCTTTTTACCATTCCTGTTACTTTACAAGTCTATTTATAACAAATTTATCTTAACTGTTTTGAAACTACATGATGCCTGGTTGAAACTGTTTTGGGCAGCCATTTGCAGAAGATAAATTATCATTGAATAATTAAGTTAATGCAAAGTTACAAATGACAGGTTATTTATTTCTAATAAAGACAGGTTATTTATTTCTAACAAAGACAGATATTTTGTTTAACATTTTTACACTGACTAATCTTTGAAGTGTCTTCAACCTTAGTTTTTATTAGAATACAAACATTCAGTCTGACAGTTTACACAAGACATGGAGCTTTAAGAATCTTTAATTCAGTCAAAATCTGTAATGGACAGCCATGTCTCTACCACTTTGTACTCCAAGACTGTGTATGGACATTTCCTTTCAACTATGCCTGGTGGTATCACTACAATGTATTTGATTTCTAATCTGATGGTGAACACTCCAAAATAAATCAAGAGCCATGACAAGTACTCAAGATCCAACCATGAAATCACATACCTGTATATAAAGAAAATTTATCAGGAGTTGAAAGCAATAATAATTGGTCAGCTATAAATTTCAATCATTTTCATATTGTCATGAATAGAAAATAATGTTGAAAAGGAAGAAACACTTCTTGGTGTCCTAGTTTTTGTAGATTTGCTTTGACAACTGATCTTTAAAAAATGTGATAGTGACTAAGTTCTTTTAACCATTTACTGAGCATGATTTAACAAAAAAATATGACCCACTTATTTGAGAAAAATACTTTAAACAGTATTTAACATGAATTAACTACATATGCCATACTGTTTGTTTGTTTACTTAGCTACACTGTAATTATTTACAAAAACGAGAACATTATATGTTATACAATAATATTTATTTTTCATTAATGTAGTTTAAGTAGCTTTAAGTATTATATTTCTTACCAAAACGATTTTACAGCAGAGCATGCATGTGTATTTACATCGGATACTGACGTCTTTCATCTCACCACTGTCCTCAGTCAAAATATCTACAGGAGCAAAATATTTCATTGAATTTTATGACAATTTAAGTTGGTTATATACAGCTTGACTGTTTGTGCTTTATAAAGATAATAATTATAAATAAATAATATTTTCAGTTGGAAGAAAATATATTCAACTAAAACACACTGCTAATCATATTGAAACGTTTATCCGAAAGATGCGCTGTCCGAAATTTCTGAACATTATATACTTCTGAGAGATAATCAGGTAGCGCTATAGAAAATTGATAAAATCAAATTCACCAGTCTGGTGTCAGATGCGAATGATGTTGAATCGAAAAACAAATTTATTAGATTTACATGGAAATGAAAATATTACAACATTTATTGGGATAAACTGAATTTGAAATGACACACCCACCTGAAGATTATACGAAGTTGTCTTTCATTGATACTTGTTCACAAGATGAAACCATTTGCATTTCGTTACAAAACAAAAAACTCTGCCAATTTCCACATATCATTTGCTTTTCCATGTAAGTTTTACTTTCTCACCGGCATACAAGTATTACCCAATATAGATAAGCAATGTTGTTGATATTTGTTTGTACCCGGAAGTGCAAAATATCGTGAAATCTCGCAAGTCACATGACGAGACTTACATACCCTATATGTCTCGCTTAAGTTTTATCTTGTAATCAAAAATACGCATAACTGTGAAACGCGACAAACCAATTTCATTGAAATGAAGATTAACGCGGGATGGGAATTTTAGGTAAAATACCCTCAAACGTCATATCAAATGACATTTATTTAATACCTTCCTTTACTTCATGGTTAATGGAGACAGTATTTTTGTTACTGATGACTACCTGCGAATATTTTGATGATGACTTTAGAATAAAGATCTGAAATTCAATAAAAAAAACCTTAACCGGATGTTAGAAATTTGTTATATTTTTATTAAAATATGTATATCAAAAACTTTATTTTCGTGAAAATACTTGTAATTTACAATCTAGTAATTGTTACAGTGCGGAACACTCATTGAGCGTCACTTGTTTCATTCAAAGTGAGGGTTCTGTCGGGTTTTTTCTCTGGCTATAAGCCATTTTAACACAAACTCAGTTAGCAAGATAGCCAGAACAACATTTGGTTCGGGTGTCATATAAATTAAAAATACTTATTCCATGAACCAATAATGGAACATAAAGATAACGTCGAGAAAGTAAACTTTTATTTTAATCAAGTTAGTTATAAAGGTTATTAAGGGGAGTGATGGCCTAGAGGTTAAGGTGTCTGCCTCTCAACCCATGATCATGGGTTCGAGCTCTAATCGGTTCACGACCATGTTTCTTCATTTGGCACCAGTCCATGTCGGATCCAGGAAGATAACTAGAAGGAGATTAATATTAGTTGTAAACCTTGTTTTGCAATCGAGCTTAAATAAATATGTTTAAACTAAGGGTCATTAACGAATTCAAAGAATAATGCATTGACTGGATGGGGGATTGGGGGATTCAATATAACACATGTACCAATCCAGTTCATTCGATATAAAATAAATATAACTTTGTTCGCTTCATATTTTTGACAAATATTTAAAAGTCCGCTTATAACTACGCGTGTGTTTTTATTATTTATTTATTTATTTATTTTTATTTATTTATTTTTTATTTTTTTCATTTTTTTAGTTTTTCATTTATCTATCTTTTTTCCTAAAATTACCATTATTTGTTAACTTTCGCAATATTAAAAGGACACACACACATACAAGTATCGATTTTCAATTCAATTTTGAACATATACCTTTTTTTCTTTTGAAATATTTTCTGTTTTAAGTGCTTCACTTGGTCTATGTAAGGATTTTAAATTCTATGTTTTAAGGATTTTTTTATCTCTGTATCTTTATCCTTTTAAATCAAAATTGTCATTGTCAGGATCAGACCTTGGCAGCTTTATGTATCATGTAGCTGATTAATGACTGGTTCCAGATAGGTATTTGCAGAAGTTTGCGTCGAGGCAGATTCAGCTTCATTCAAATCGCTGAAATTGTCTCCCCAATCATGAACAAACCTGCTTGTCGATGAGGATGAAATTTGGTCATACGTTGTAAGGTCAGTGTAATGAGAGTCTGAAATTCTAACGTTTGTGACATATGCCGAACTTACGCCGGCGGTTTGAAAATCTCTTTGACTCTGCACGGTGCTGTTTATACTGCTCCGACGGTCGAGGTTTGGCCTTATATTCTTGTTTTTGTACATATAAATGATTAGAAATATCAGAAACAAGGTCGTAACCCATCCTATCACAGACGTGATTATAAGAATAAGCCGAATAGAATCGTTTTCGAATTTGAAATTTTCTGGATAATCAAAGTTCTGGTCTTGATCCGGGGTACAGTTTATAGAATTTGCAATGCCATTATTCGTTGTAAAACTTGACGTCGTGGACGGAACGTTAGGACCTGCTGTTGAAACAAAGGTTGAATTTGATATGCATCTTGTCAAACAATCATCACACGCTAGCTGTACTGCTTGGCCGTTTGTTTTAGCTGCTCTTACTTTAACATGTACAATTTCAGTCCTGTGTACATTGAATCTTGTTCCATTTGATGCTGTAACAGTATTAGCAAAATTACAAACATAATCTCCTGTGTCACTTATGTCCACGTGATAGCGTTGATACTGCAATCCTGTCACGTGGAAATTGTCGTCATCATTTTTACTCCACCAGACATTTGGAGCAGGTGTTCCATGGCCGTCACATTTTAGTAACAAATCGTCACCTTCGTCATAGTAGGCATATCGGCGGGGGTATAAGACGGTTATTGTAGCTTTAACGTGCTGATTTAACCACACGTACGTGCTGACATAGGACGTTTTCGGGTCTGAAAAAGTCGGCAGCATTAAACTTTGCACATTGCAAAAGATACGTCTACCATAAGAAACAGTATATCGAAAAGTCTTATTCCTTGATAAAAGAAGACCGTCTGCTGACCCCAGCCTCCATTGGTACAAAGGTTCCGGGTCTGACTTAACTAAACACGTAAGTGCCAATTCTTCTCCAAGCAAAACAGTATCTGGGATATTTATGACAGGTTCAGATGGTGGGTATAACACTTTGACATATACTGAATCTTTGGCGATGTATGTAACATCTGGGGAATAATCATCATAAGAAACGCCGCACGTGTAGTTTCCCTCGTCTTCAATACTTACTTTTTGTAACTGAAGTCTTTCATTAACTGTGAATAAAACGTTGTTTCTGAACCACGTAAAACTGACATTAGTTATGTTAAAAGTACACTCAAAATCTAAAGTTTCCCCTTCGATAATCTTGACACTGTTGTTACCCGTGTCTGTCCACACTTGATGTCCCAAATAAACTATACCAACGTTATACTGACAGTAAGCTGAAAATAGTACACAAGATGTTAACCATCGACGGAACCCACGATACATATTTTGTATAAAGTTAATTTAATATATACCGGTACTGGTGAACGGTAACTAGCCTTTATTACAAAGGGTGACTACTAGTATTTAAAGAAACGTTTTACAGAACTTTGAGTACGTTCTAATAAATAGATATTAAAGGTATACGGTATTTGGTCAATTATATAGTTCGGATACATTCTACGGTATAGAATATTTAACATTAAGAAACGGTTTAAATAAAAAAAAACAACAATATCATTGTGTAAGCAACCGTACAAAATCATTACACAACTAATGACATAATGAAAATAAACAACAAACAAAACAACAATAACAAAACAACAACAACTGATTTAAAATGATAGAACAAAACAGAATTTTTAAAAAGAAAATGATAACATACCGACATACAAATACACTACAATTAAGAAGAAATTAAAATTTCCTAGACCTCCCATTTTAACACTGAATTATTCTACTATTATTCGTTTCACTTGCAACCGTAAAATATATAAATAGTACATGGAAATAATGATGAGTAAAACGTCTAAAAATAGTCATTTTACTGTATCGCTCAAGCTTGTCAACAATTATTTTTCGCTTTTATGTTCATCCGTTTGTTAAACGCCGAGGATGAATTTATATTAGATTTTGTTACGCATTACAGCGTATAAAAAATCGTATAAACATGGCCGATTTCTGCAGTTTTTTTAAACTCATATACAGGGTGTATATTCGGCAACGCTCAACGCATTAGAGCAACAATTGCCTACATACTCTGTCTTTTTGTCGCATAAAGACCCATTTATAGAATTCTTATATTGTAAAAAACGTTGATGATAATGATATTGATGGAAATTTTCTGTTGACACTGGTTATGTGCATAATTATAATAACAATGTCGGTGGTGGTGTTGGTGGTGACGATTATGATGACAGTAGTGTTGGTCGTCATGACAGTAATGGTGATGATTATGATAGTGATGATAATAGTAGAGGTGGTTATGATGATGACGATGGTGGTGATGATTTGCTTATGTTGACAAAGAAAACAATGATATGATTATTTTGTTGTTGATGGTGATGAATATGATGATGAATTGTGATGATGACTAACATGATGATTGCGATCAAGGTAGGGATGACAATGGCGGTAATGATGACGTTGGTTATGATGATAAGAGCTTGTATAATACTGACATTTTGGACATCTATCGAAATAACTGTTCACAATCGTATCTGTTTCGAATAGGTTTGATTTTACGGCGGAAGTATGCCTGTTTGTCACATTAGTAGGTCATGTTTATTCGCTGAATTAAGCCACATTTACAAACGAACTTTATCACGTTTAGCAGCGTTTTTATGCGGCGTTAAAAGGGTATTACAATGAATATCATGTTTTTTAATATATCTCCTAAACGTTTTCTATATAGCCTATTGTGACGTCACATGGTGTTGTTTTCGACCTATCACCTGTTACAATATTCCACAGGGGCGAGTAATCTGTATAAACTGAAGGAAATATTATACTCTTGTTCTCGCCCCTGATTCAAAAAATATGTTGAATGGTCATTAAAATGTTGGTCCGGTATAATACTCCAGTTCACCGTTGCTTATATGCACTAGTTCATGTGCGAAATTTCAGATCATTCGCTTTCTTCGTTTTTACTGAATAATAGGTTTTAAAAATTTGAAAATGAATTGAATTGAAAAATTAACTCAGTGACGATTTAAAATCGCAAAAGGAGGAATTTTGTTTTATTCTTAAGTCACATTCGACATTTTATACTTCTGTTTAAAGTACCCAGACTGATTTGGGAAAAAATCATATTGAATGTATTTCAACGGAACTCCTTTAATATTTTGACCAGTATCAACAGGTTGCATTTAATCAAGTTTACAACTGGTCTTATACAGACGCACGCAGTTTAAAATAAATGAATTTAAAGTGAATAGGTCTACAATGGGCATATCTTTCATGCGTATTTCAACTATTGTATATAAACGAGTATCGTTTGGATATTATTATAGGATATATTTGAAAAATAAATGTTAATAAAGTACTTTGTGAACTACTATGAACATTTTTGTGATGAATAATAATATTTAAAAAAAAACTTTAAGATCTGCTATTTACAGTAAATATATATAATATTATATCATGTATTTCACACTTGCCGACAACACCCATTTATAATATTTCGTACTTTGTTCGTTTGACTGACACTATATACTATCAACATAATTATTCGTGTTTTTTAAACCAATTCCCTTTTAAACAAGAACATTCAAGTATGAGTATATATAAAAGTTGGAATCTCTCTTTTGTGCGTGAAATACACAATTTATTATGATACAAATTGCATGAAATGATATTAATAATAATTAATAATCAACTAGACGTTAATATTGCCCGCTTTCCATTTTAAATATCTTATTAAAATAAATGGATTTTTCCATCTGGACTATCCTCACAAATCTGGACAAAAACATTCATGTTTTAGGGAAAACTTATATATATATGCTTACTAGATAGAGAACGATCAGAACTGATCACATAGGACGAAAGATAAGTACTGGTGCTAGCAGGCTTGGAGTCAAGTAAAATACCGTGCATCATTATTTCATTATCACGTGCACTAATGATACCGCTTTACTACTTCTCTTACATCCTTGCGTGAGTATCTCTTTCTCACAAACCAATTCAAAATAATATGAGCCGCGTCATGACAAAACCAATGTTTGTGCGTTTGCGACAAGCATGGATCCAGACCAGCCTGCGCATCCGCGCAGTCTGATCAGGATCCTAGCTGTTCGCTATCAGTTTGTCTACTTGTTATAGGGTTTGTAAGCGAACAGCATGGATCCTGATCAGACTGCGCGGAAGCGCAGGCTGGTCTGGATCCATGCTGGTCGCAAACCCATTATGTTGGTTTTGTCGTGACGCGGCTCATGTAAGAATTATTAGTTGTTTTAGAAATAATATAGTGATATAAATTCAGTTTAAATCAAGTATTTGTATTACTAGGGGTTTCCGTATTATATTTAAATTGGTCATATATTCAACAGAGAACGCTTACGGGACAAGTCAATTTGTTGGGTTTTGGGAAGGATCTGATAAATGGCGAAGGATACGGTTATACGGTAGGACAGGTTATTATGGGTTTTACTGTATCTGCTCAATTATAAATCGTTTTCATTTGGCGTTTTGTTGTTGCTGGGATGACATTGTTTTCGTAAACATTGTGTGAATATATTCATTATTATTCAACAAGAAAACAAATTTACTGCTGTGTTTGAATTTTCTGTTTTAATAATTGATGCATGGAATTTTACAATATGAATAATTTATTACACGTAACATTGGTATCCTTTTACGGTCAATAATAAAATAACAAATGCTGCCATTTAGTTATTGACCCACCTATTCGTTCAAGTAAAAGTCAACGAGTTAGTGAGTAAGACGCTAATAACAAAAATAAATACGATTTTAAATATATTAAGGAGTTTCACTTAGACCATCATCTTATACCCACGGCAGAACAATTAAGATTTATCAGCTGTGATATCCAGTCGATTAGAGGTGTGTCAAATACAGCTATGTCATTGATTGCCTCACGGTATCATTGTAGCGCCGTTGTATGTCGCAACGCCGCTAAATGTCGCCCAATTGCCGTTAATTGTCGCAACCACAGCTAAATGTCGCAACTGATACATGAAATGTCGCAGGATTTCCCTTTACCGTTTAATGTCGCAACGCCACCGTTAAATATCGCAATATCTAAATTCATATACAAAAACTGATATTATGTCAATATTAAAGTTATTTAAGTGAACCAGAGAACAGCTATGTTATATATAGTAAAGGGTTTGCTATAATATGTATGTCTCTGTGATGATTATACAAGATGATACATGTTAAAACAAAATTATTTGATTCTAGTTACTGTGGTTCACAATTTTTTAAATGGCAACAAACGATGAAATAGGAAATCGTTGCACGTTAGTAAATCAGTCAACACAACTAAATGCAAACGCATTTTCGGTGGTTTTAGCATGGGTTCCAGTAGCATTTCAATGTAAAACAAACCTTGTTTTAAACTGTTCTAAAGTAGATAGATAATCACCGCAGGTTATATCATGTATCCCATTTCTGTTAATTTGATGCCGTTGAAATAAATGCAAGACTTTGTCGATATATAGTCTCAAAGGGTGAATGTGTTTTAGAAAAAAAGCTCAAGGTATTGCCTGAATTTGTCGCGTAAATCCAGACTTGGTATCGCCTTTATATGTCGTGTGAGAGGTAAAATGATAGGTTACTTATATATGCCAGATGTAGATAAACGAGTATATGCCACGTAGCAAATCTTAATCAAATAGTTTATATGAAACATTGGAGTCCATTAATCACAAACATCTGTAATGACTTGACATTAATATCATTTTTGAGCCATTTGGGTATTTATAAGGTATATATCTGGAGTTCACGCACGGTTAACTAAGTCTGCTGCGATTGTCAGTATGAAATGCTAACGAAATAGCGGCTGGTCCTGGTATATATGACAAGGCCTGCAGAAATAAAATGGAAGTGATCTCATGGTTTTTGCTGGTGAAACACAAACGCACACTCACGCACTAACAAGCGTATATATTGGTTATTTGGGTATTTTACTCATCGAACATGTTGAATATGCATAGTAAGATTATTAACGAGACTTCTGCTACGAAATAATCAAGTAAGAGGCGGTATGGTCGAGTGATTAACGCGTCAAACTAGTAATCTAAAAATGGCTGCGTGGGGTGCAAGACGTTTTTACCGTTAGCAAAAAACTTTATACTCGTTGCTTAGTACAGGTTGGTTCCAGTTCCAGTGTTTAAATACGCTTAGAGCTTCAAACACAATTGAAGTTCAATTGAAACACTAGTTCAGAACTAAAACAAATTCGTATAACCTAAAAAATATCAAGTTTATATTCAGATTGTAGAACGTTAGTAGTTACAGCAATATATACAAAATAAGAAATCTGATACAAATAGAATCTTGTTGGATTTTACGGCGCACCATCAGAGTCAGGACATATGATGACTTTTCAGCCTTACTGTTGAAGAAGGACTTCGTGTGACTCTCCGTGCATAATTTCAGTCTCGCACGGGAACCTGAATAAAACCAGCGACGTTCCATAAACAAGCTGGACTATCTTCCTCATACAAAGAATACTAGTACTAAGTCTCTTGCGGGATTCGAACCCACAGCGGTGAAGGGCAAGTAGATAGACTAAAGTATGCAAAGCAATATGCAATGTACTTAACAGATGGTTATTATATGCACTTAACATGTAGTGTATTTGCATACTATACATGTATCAATCGCTTTTACTGTTTAATTTCAATATAAAAAATTATTTGAAAAGCATATTTCGTCTTGAGTCAGCAGATTCGGGACATTCCTTTAGTTTCCAAAGTTACTAAATATATACAACCATTTGATCTATGATTATTTAATATAATACCACTAGCAAGCTTAATTTTATCATAAATATATATCTTGCGACATTTAACGGTAGTTTTGCGACATTTAACGGCAAGGGTAAATTGTGCGTCATTTAACGTTACAGTTCCGACATTATAGTCTATACAACTGTAGTAGTCAATTTTGCGACATTTAGCGGCGGATGTGACATTTGGCGATCACGGTGAGACAAATAGAGGCAAGTGCGACAAAGGAAAAATAACAAAGATTGAAAATATATCTATAAAACAGGTTCTTCATTAAACTTACTAACTTCCAGTTGTGTGATACTTTCAGTTTTATCGACAATTTCTCAATTTCTTTTACATTTTATCGCCGGGTGTACGCAGTATCCATAATCAAAATCGCATTCAACGCGAAATACTGACAAGAAAGGGAAGGCTTGTGAATATTAAAATTAGAAGAAAGGACATATTCTTTGCAAAAAAAATAAATAATTCAAATATATTCTGATTGCTTTACAAAATACCGGTTGAAAAAGTGTTCACAGTATCAGAATTTTGAAGATGCGCGCGCATCGTATGATCCCTTGATAAATAAGAAGTATGCTCACAGTATTAAATTAAATATCGATTTTTGTGAGATTCTTAGCACGATTTAAATGCATTGTTTTTCTATTTATTTATTTTGTGGTCATTTTGCAGAATAAAAATGATTATTCTGGAAGGTAATGATCAGGCAATTTGCACACAAGTAATCAGTCCAGACCTGCATCAAATGGTATATAAATCTCCGAAATATTTTTCCAGTCTCGCATTGGCAAAAGAAAAAAAAGAGAAAAAAAAAACTCAGAGGAGTCCCTTTAAACAGCTCAAATGGCTCTTATTAACAAGTTTGATATAGCAAAACGTTAGTCTCGATCTGTAGCTTTTGGAATGGATGTCCATTTGCTCCAATCTCGTTTAGAAGCTGAGATATCTAAGATGACGTTGTTCATGAACTGTATTTTGGCATCGGAAAAGGTGTGTGTGTTACTTTGCTTTAGTCTTCATTCGCCAGAATCTTTAACTTTAAATATTCTTTAGATCATAAATATACATCCCAGTCCCAGAACAATAAATCTAGCATTCATTTCAGCAGAGTTATATCTCTTGATATTTAGAGAATTTCTAGAAGAAGAAGGAAAAAAAAGCACCGGGGAATTAGGGAATTCACCTTAAACGTGGTACATGTGTAGAGGTCATTATTGCAGGTCACAGGCCTCTAGCACGATATATTCTTAATATTATAAGAAATAATTGAATCCAGTTTCTTTGAATAATCAAGCCTGTTGTTCGACTTGCAGCTTTTGTTTTAAACCAGTGAGATAATAATCAAATTTGCGATTTAGTTATCATGAATTTGTAAAAATATGATATCCACACAGGCGTGTAAATTAACAATTTTAAAATGTAAATATTTAAAGTTGGCAGGGAAATCAGTTGACATTGAGGAAATTGTCTGCTAGATTGAATCTGAATTATTAATAGATATGCTGGTGAATGATTTGAAATATACATATGTATTTCATGGAACGAGTTTCAATTTCTATGATTTTTGGTAGATCTTTGAGTTCAATAATAACTGTACACGTGGACATATATTCCAGCTATTTAAACCAAGTGTGAATAAAACACTAAGGAAAAATTCATTTCCTATTAGATGCATTGACCAGTGGAATAATTTAGATGAAAACATTGTTCTCAGTGAAAGTGTTTTGACAATTAAAACTTTACTCGACCGGGGCTGGCAAAGTCAAAGATTTAATACAAGTGACACTTACTGAAGTTATCTTGATAATACTGTATAGGAGGAGCTTACAAGCCATCTTGGCTTAAATGCTCCGAAGAAGGAGAAGATTGATTTGAATGTCACTTTTTTCACGGAAAGTATAAACAGTAGGCATGATTTGGACGCCAAGAGGTTTTCCTGGTATTTGATTAGATGATGCTACAAAGAGTGATGACCTTAAATATGATGCCGAAGACATAACTATGTATAATTTCGTATAAATATCTTCATTAAAAATCAAGAATGGGTTTTTCATAATTCGATATTTCATCATTTTTATGTTTAGATAAAGAATTCTGCTTGAGTCGGTGCGTATAATTTATGACAGCTTGTACTTCCCGGTGCCATCCATCAAATTAAGCTGCAATATTTTCAATTCTGTCGTATAAGGCGTTCTTTATGGGCCACATTTATTTATTTTTTCTTCTTCTTAATTTCACGAAGGGGTTTAGTTCAGTCAAGATCAATGCTGGGGTGATGGAACTTGAACAATGAACAACCGTGTTCATGATTTTTCTGTTCTTTCGGGAGCCTTGTTTTCAATAAATACTTTCAATGTTGAATACCCTTAAAGCCGGTGCCAGGGTGCATGAGAGAATTTGCAAACTATATTACAACATTCTCATTAATAAATTTAAACAAACCGAATATGTAGTTGGCAACAATTTGCTTTATTTTCATTGGTCTTCCTTTTTCCAGATTTTTAGACTCACAACAGCACGTTTTCAGGATATATGATTCCAATACTTTTATTGTTGATGAATGAATACCGCTTAAGCTTGCGCTAAGGATAATGAGAGTTGTGCACATTACATTTTCTCTTATGAACAGGCTTCATCAAGAAAAGAAAACGGAATGCCTTAAACGACAAAATTGAAAATGTTGCAAGCTCTGTTTGATTGAGTCTGTTCACGGATGGTATTGGAAAGTGGAAGTTACCGGCCACATTCCCTAGCATCAGCTTAAGCAGTATTCAACAATTAAACATGAAAATAATGAAATTCCATATTGAAACATTCGCAAATATGTTCAGTTGCAATTGCCAGTTATTTACTTAGTGTTTATTTCTCCGGAAGAAATTTCAAGATATCTATAATTTAAATATAATGAAACCTTTTGCATTTAAATGGTTAAAATGACATAAAGTAGCCCTGCTAGTGTTGTCATAATCAAACCCAAAGGGGAATGGTAATTGATTTACTTTCTTTTAAAATAGTAAACTGTTGAAATATTCAACGATCTAGCCATTTTTACAAAGCATATCAGTCCAATTTTCTCAATACACATAATTCAAACCATTTTTTATTATAAATTATTTAATTAACCGTGACCAGGAGTTCCGAATCACCCTAATAATTGTTTAGAATTTAGAACTATTATAATGATAATGGTTGAACTATGGAGTCTTCTTACATATTTACATATCAGTCAATACTTTTATTCTAAATGACACTGTTTCAATATGAAATAACAGATCAATAGCTCATTGTGTTGCCTTGTTGATATCCAGGTTTTATAGAAATACAATCAAAGTTGCTTTTTTATATTTAAAACGTTCATGTAACTATGCTTTCTACAGTTGAAAAGAGCAACACTTTAATATTAAAATTAATATTACATACTTATACATATTAAAACAATCTGATTTTGCTATTTTGGCAGAAATATGTTGAAAAATGTACAGCTAACATTATTGGAAAGTTCTAATTGGATGACAGGTCAATAGCAAAATATTATATATTTGTCTTAGTTTCAGGAGATAAAGGTTTTCATCGAGACGAAAAATAAAAACATAAGTGTTTTAAAGAAATATTTAACCGACTCGTAAAAAGTTTGTAAGTAGGCAATATGACATTATATTTCATTTTTACACTTACGACGAGCAAAGGTGTGCACGATCAATAATCAGAAGTAAAGCATAATTATATAATCATGATTGTATCATGCCGTTGTGGGCTTTGATCTTGAAGCAATAGAATACATGTATATTTACACATATCGCCGTTACAGATCTTTATGTAACAAGTTTAACCATGCCTGAATAAGGTAAATAGTTGAAAATGAATACTGGTCAAAGTAGTGGGAAGGTACATCGACGTTCTCTTGAACACAGATCCTGTACATAATACAAAGACTTACTATTCCCAGGAATAGGGTCGTTATTGTACCGTTTATTTTAGCTTATAATAAATGAGAACCATTCTAGTTGTTAGCATTCATTGATCGAGTTTATTGTTTTCCATTATTTATGTTATTTCAAATTCATTAATTTTAAATGATCTTATCCGCATAAGCAGAATATTTTACATCAGCATGCAGCAACCGTCTTTGGAAAGGGAATCATGTGGAAACATCAGCAATATTCTCTTCTATTTCTTGTTAAACTAGTGTTCTTTATATTTTTAGATAACTATTTACTGGCAGACAAAATTCATTTTTCGAAATGGTTACGTGTAAATAAAAACAAAACCATAATTTCGACATTCGAAACTATTTCAAGTATAAGTGTAGGTAACTGTGTGAATTCGTGTAAAGCTAGGAAAAGATGCGAATTTATTAATTACAATGTACATTACAAAGCCTGTTTCTTAATCGGTTTGATAAATGCCACTGATGTTCACAAATTACAACAGTATAATGTTACAGTACTGGAATCTAAGAGCGGGTATGTATTTGGAAACAAGTCTGAATGGAAAATGGTAAGTAAAGATTCAGATGTATTTTGTTTTGTTTTCTTTTCTTTTTCCGTTTGCGTGTGCATTTTCTTTGGTCATATTTGCCTTTTTGCTTTGTATTCCATTTTTAAATTATGTGATCTTGTATCTTCGTTACACAAAAGAATATATGTATCAGGTGGCTGATTCTTACTTGCGTTGTGTGTACCATAAACCGGTATATACCAACGAAACAATTGACCAAAATAAAAACAAAAATACTGATGACAAAACTACGGAGCCCCTAAGCTGAAATTTTAACACTTTTTCCCCAGGACGTTATTTGTTTTAAGGAATATTAATTCGAAATTACGGAATATTGATTCGGTTTAACGAAATATCAAATTGTTTTGAAAGTCATTGTGAGCGTGACAAAAAAAGTTAATTTTTGAGACTATTAAAGTTTTTTTGACATGTTCTTTTAAAAAATAAGCATGCTATATTATAACTTTCTTTTCTCATACACATTAGTAAAACTTAAAGGCGCAGGCCTCCAGATCTTCACCATATATGTTCTTAAGATGTGTGCATGGGTACCGTGCGATCATAAGAACATGATATTTATTTCAAAACTCAATAAAATCGATAAAACGAAACGGAAAAAATGTTTGGATTTAAACTCCTGAACCCCAATTTCAACAAAATTTCCCTAGCGCCAGTACTGTCACGGCTATCACAGCAACTCAACGGATGGTTTTTGTAAGTAGTATACTGTACCAGTTAGGAAGTTAGTTTCAAAGCCTTTTTAATAGATATAACCAAAACTCTTAAAAGCGATATTTTCTTCTGTCATCTGCAGGCCAGCCCCTTTAACCCATCTGAAAGGTAGCTTTTTAATTTTTGAAACTTTCTCAATGTCACAAAATTCCATAACGATGTCGTCTGTGTCATTACTGGGCTCGAATCATAATAAAAAGGAGAATGTTTAAATATTCATTAGTGTCAATCAATAATGCTTAAATTACCATTTGCAAGCTTTTACGGTAACTGTTTTCATGTTTCTTTTACAATAGGAAAATTATGGTGCCTGCCGAGGGTGTAACTATCAGGGTTTTTGTGATTCGGAGGAAAACACGCCGGAAATGCCCTCAACATGCGTATCCTCGGGTAAGCTTCTTTGCCCTTGCCTTGTTGATATTTGCTCTCCTTTTCTGGTCCTAGGCGCCTCACACATAACCGCCCGATTTCGCTAAACATGCGAAACGATTATCTTTTAATAATTATTTGCCCTCGTCCGAAACTCTTTTGTGATTAGGTATTATTTGAAAAAGCTTAATCAAACCGAGTCTGCAACATATCCAATTTTGTTGTTTTGAGCGTTTTTAGCGGATTCCGTTTTTGTTTCTCTTCTCTTCGTTATGCAAACACTTCTTTCTTTTGTAAATACATTTTATTTTGATTTTTACTGTCCCGATAATACCTTTAGAAACTTAAAATATATCTTTGGAGAGAAATGTAAAATATAGAGACAAACATAATACCTAAAGAACGCAAAAAACGTCAAAATTGATTTTTTTTGCAAGCTAAATTTGATCGAGCCTGTTCAAACAGTTACCTGTTGTTTTACATTAAATTTCAATGATTTAAGAAAACATACATTGAGCATGACTGTGTAAAGTAACATTTCCTGTTAGATGATCACACATTTTTAATGTGTTTGAAAAAATTTCATGATTATTTAGTATTATACTTTATATAGATAACGGACACAATCATTGTTACAAAACGCTTTAATTATATAAATACTGACGAATTGACTTACGGGAATTCAATATGTTCAGGGAATTAAGACGAGCCAGTCTGTCCGTCCAGCCATCTATCAATCCAGACATCAATCAAAGAATGTAAACTGTAATTACAGCCAGACAGGACTGTGCTCTCTGGTGGTGATACGATTAGAATCTTAAAGACCACTAGAAAATTGTTCTAAAAACATTTGTGTCGTGCTTTGTTTTGAAATTTTGCTGTCAATGTAGATGTTCTTTCCATAAAATGAAAACGAGATACCATTTGCAAGGACAATAAAATACATTTTTTTGTGTCAGCACATAAAAACGTCTTGCAAAAATATCTTGACCGGGCGCAAAAAAATAAATAAATACAACGATGTTCAAATCTAACCAGAATCGTTCTAATTTTAATGTGAGTTTGAAAGTTCTTCTTGTTGTTATTTTTTTGTGCAATAGCTCTTTTTTCAGTGTACCATTTTATCATCATATATAGGTTGCGGTGTACCCGTGCTGGAAATTAATGGGCTTGAGATTTATGGAAATATGTATAATGCTGGTGACAAAGTAATTTTTAAATGCAACGATACGTTTTACCTGAAGGTATGAACAGGAATTTTTTTTATTTAACCAATTCATAATTTTTATATTTCTTCCGCCCTTTTATTCATAAACGTTTACTCGCAATGGGCTATAGACTTTTATGAACACATGTGTGGATGTTTCAAAGTTCAAAAGTTTACCAGTTCATATTAAATGTTGAATTCTGCATACGCCGGTGCTATTGGTCGTGGACGGTAGCTTTCAATTCTTGCAGGTTCAATCTGACCAAGTCAGACATTTGCAACATTTGCAATTTTGCCTTGTTTTGCTTTTTTAGGTCTATTTAACCATTTGGGTATTTTGAACATTTTTTAAGTTAACACATTAACAATACAATAACCAAATAAGATAACATGTACATGTAATTGAAAACAGGAACCTTTAATGAGAATTTGGCCGTTTTCTTTTACAACTAATGACTTTGTTATTCTGTATATAAGCGCTGTATTGATATGTGTATTTTGTTTTATTAACTGGCAATGAAACATTGTAGATGTTGGATAACTTTCATGCCAATGTTTCTGTGGTAACAGCTTTATGTAACAGCAACGGTTTTTGGGAGTACCCGAAATTCACGTGTGAGCATCGTAAGTAATCAAAGTATGATTAATAAAACAACAACAAAAAACAAACAAAACAAAAACATAAAGAAGTTATTGTTGATATTATTATTCGATCTATTATTATGAAGCCTTTTTTTTGGAAAATGTTATGATTTTTTTTTTTTGTAAAATTAATTTTGATTGAAAACATTGTTGTTGATCTTGTTCTTAATACTCCTGGTTGTTCTGTTCGGGTTTACGTCACTAGTTAGGCTAACCTTGGGTTTGACAAATTTACAGCATGCCAGGGGTCAAAACCGCCTCAACTGTTGGAGAGACTCCAGTAATTTGAGATTTATTCGCCTCTGCCGATGGCGCATGAATTAATGGCAGCTGCTATGTATGACTTAAATTGTATTCGTACTGCGTAAAACCAAACGAAACAAAAAATTAGCAATGGATAGAATTTTTACAGGAGAATAAGTAAAGGTACATGATATTAATTATTTTGCGTACTTATGTCATCTCAAATCGCTTCTGAGTGTCGTGTCTGGCAACGACATTGTAGAAATCTTGAAAGCGATATTATGTAATCATTATATTGTACAGTTGTTAAATGTGTGAAGCTTTTTATGTATTGTATCATTCATACATTTTAATTATGTTGGTATATTTTTTTATTTACAGGTACACTAACGAATGTTGCCATTAATAAAACAGTGAATCTCAGCTCTCAATATAGTGATGTCAGTCCTGGAAACCTAATGGTAGGTTGGGTGTAGTTTGTTTGCTTTGTTTATTTCAAGACATATTGAAGTCATGATTTCTTTGAACTTCTGTGCTTTGTTTTCATCTTAATTAAGCAATTTGAAAGCTGCTCCTTAATAACTGGATTGTCTTAATTTGCATTTTAAGGCTTGTCTATTAGTATTACTTTAGGGATAACAAAATTAATAGTCACCAGTATATTACGGTGTCCCGTTAGGGCCATTGCGATGCTCACATAACTCACACAAACAACGAAAACATGAAATTACGATGGTTAAATGTCGAAATATGGAAACCACGATGGTAAAAGGTTGATGGTACGATGCTGAAAAGTCGTACATGCGGTGAAGAACAGTATCAATTACGAAACCACGATGATGCGTTGGACCTAACAGGATACCGTGGTATATAGACTAGTCAGACAACATGCCCAGTCCCTTGAGATTCGAGTTACCGAGAGTAAACTAGACATGTTAAAGAATACTGTAAACAAAATATCGCAAAGAAGATTTTGAAACGTTACCTGCGCAACATCATGGCTTCGTTTCCATTGCTACCGATTGGTCACACCATTTTAGAATGTATACAACTTGAAAGTATATTGAGAAATGTTTTAATAGGCTATACATATCAATCATTCCTTCTAAAGTTGATGTTGAATTTTATTTTATAAAGGTCGATGGTGACAGAAGTAAATTATGGCCATGCACAAGTACTAGTAAGGAGGCTTTTCCGTGGGCAATAATCGACCTTGAGCATACCTATACGCTCTTCTATTTGTACTTGGCTAACAGAATCAATTGTTGTCGTAAGTTTACCTTACCTTCTTTGTTAAAACTGCTACATTGGTGTCAGTTTGCACAGTCATGTCGATATTAGATATTCCACTAAAAAATTAAAATCTTACAAAAAAATCGGAATACTTAAAACGGAAAAAGAAATAGTTTAGAAATATAGTCAAAATCAAATTGAATATCGATTTATAAATAGGAGTCTAAGCCCGACTTATGTTAAAAGCGTTCAACGCTTTCACTTCTTACTAAGGTAATTTTGCACAATAGAAATTGATATTCTTGAAAACTGGATTAGCAAATGATCTGAAAATTTGCTCACGTTATTGGTAGAGACCTTCATCTTATGATAAAAAATCCAGAAAAATATTTTCAATCCCATTATGTCAAAGTATCTCAGCATTTTGTGACATATTTTCTTCTCAATTGCCATTAAAAGCTAACCGGAAATCTATTAGAAGTAGAATGTGTTCTATTACTTAGTTCAATGTGTAAACACAGATATTTAAGAATAAATTGGTTTTGTCAAATCACTACGCTTTTCAGATAACTTCTCTGATTGCAACGTTTTGTCAGATAACTTCTCTGATTGCTATGTTTTGTAAGATTACTTCTCTGATTACTATGTTTTGTCAGATTACTTTTCTGATTACTATGTTTTGTCAGATTACTTCTCTGATTGCTATGTTTTGTCAGATAACTTCTCTGATTGTAACGTTTTGTCAGATTACTTCTCTGATTACTACGTTTTGTCAGTTAACTTCTCTGATTACTACGTTTTGTCAGATAACTTCTCTGATTACTGCGTTTTCTCAGTTAACTTCTCTGATTGTTACGTTTTGTCACATTACTTCTCTGATTACTACGTTTTGCCAAATAACTTCTCTGAATACTGTGTTTTGTCAGATAACTTCGCTGATTGCTACGTTTTGTCAGATAACTTCTCTGATTACTATGTTTTGTCAGATTACTTCTCTGATTACTATGTTTTGTCAGATTACTTCTCTGATTGCTATGTTTTGTCAGATAACTTCTCTGATTGTAACGTTTTGTCAGATTACTTTTCTGATTGCTACGTTTTGTCAGATACCTTCTTTGATTACTACGTTTTGTCAGATAACTTCTCTGATTACTACGTTTTGTCAGATAACTACTTTGATTGCTACGTTTTGTCAGATAACTTCGCTGATTGCTACGTTTTGTCACATAACTTCTCTGATTGCTACGTCTTATCAGATAACTTCGCTGATTGCTATGATTTGTCAGATTTCGCTGATTGCTACGTTTTGTCAGATAACTTCTCTGATTGCTTAGGTTTTGTCAGATAACTTCTCTGATTACTACGTCTTGTCAGATAACTTCTCTGATTGCTACGTTTTGTCAGATACTTTCTCTGATTACTACGTTTTGTCAGTTAACTTCTCTTATTACTACGTTTTGTCAGATAACTTCTCTGGTTGTTACGTTTTGTCAGATAACTTCTCTGATTACTATGTTTTGTCAGATAACTTCTCTGAATACTGCGTTTTGTCAGATAACTTCGCTGATTGCTACGTTTTGTCATATAACTTCTCTTATTACTACGTTTTGTCAGATAACTTCTCTGATTACTATGTTTTGTCAGATTACTTCTCTGATTGCTATGTTTTGTCAGATAACTTCTCTGATTGTAACGTTTTGTCAGATAACTTCTCTGATTACTACGTTTTGTCAGATAACTTCTCTGATTACTATGTTTTGTCAGATTACTTCTCTGATTGCTATGTTTTGTCAGATAACTTCTCTGATTGTAACGTTTTGTCAGATTACTTCTCTGAATACTGTGTTTTGTCAGATAACTTCGCTGATTGCTACGTTTTGTCAGATAACTTCTCTGATTACTATGTTTTGTCAGATTACTTCTCTTATTACTATGTTTTGTCAGATTACTTCTCTGATTGCTATGTTTTGTCAGATAACTTCTCTGATTGTAACGTTTTGTCAGATTACTTTTCTGATTGCTACGTTTTGTCAGATACCTTCTTTGATTGCTACGTTTTGTCAGATACTTTCTCTGATTACTACGATTTGTCAGTTAACTTCTCTGATTACTACGTTTTGTCAGATAACTTCTCTGGTTGTTACGTTTTGTCAGATAACTTCTCTGATTACTATGTTTTGTCAGATAACTTCTCTGAATACTGCGTTTTGTCAGATAACTTCGCTGATTGCTACGTTTTGTCAGATAACTTCTCTGATTACTACGTTTTGTCAGATACCTTCTTTGAGTACTACGTTTTGTTAGATAACTTCTCTGATTACTACGTTTTGTCAGATAACTACTCTGATTGCCACGTTTTGTCAGATAACTTCGCTGATTGCTACGTTTTGTCACATTACTTCTCTGATTGCTACGTCTTGTCAGATAACTTCTCTGATTGCTACGTTTTGTCAGATAACTTCTCTGATTGTAACGATTTGTCAGATTATTTCTCTGAATGCTACGTTTTGTCAGATACCTTCTTTGATTACTACGTTTTGTCAGATAACTTCTCTGATTACTACGTTTTGTCAGATAACTACTCTGATTGCTACGTTTTGTCAGATAACTTCTCTGATTGCTACGTTTTGTCAGATAATTTTGCTGATTGCTACGTTTTGTCACATAACTTCTCTGATTGCTACGTTTTGTCAGATAACTTCTCTGATTGCTACGTTTTGTCAGATAACTACTCTGATTGCTACGTTTTGTCAGATAACTTCGCTGATTGCAACGTTTTGTCACATAACTTCTCTGATTGCTACGTTTTGTCAGATAACTTCTCTGATTGTTACGTCTTGTCAGATAACTTCTTTGATTACTATGTTTTGTCAGATAACTTCTCTGATTACTATGTTTTGTCAGATTACTTCTCTGATTGCTATGTTTTGTCAAATAACTTCTCTGATTGTTACGTTTTGTCAGATTACTTCTCTGATTGCTACGTTTTGACAGATACCTTCTTTGATTACTACGTTTTGTCACATAACTTCTCTGATTGCTACGTTTTGTCACATAACTTCTCTGATTACTACGTTTTGTCAGATAACTTCTCTGAATACTGCGTTTTTTCAGATAACTTCGCTGATTGCTACGTTTTGTCAGATAACTTCTGTGATTACTACGTTTTGTCAGTAACTTCTCTGATTACTATGTTTTGTCAGATTACTTCTCTGATTGCTATGTTTTGTCAGATAACTTCTCTGATTGTAACGTTTTGTCAGATTACTTCTCTGATTGCTACGTTTTGTCAGATGCCTTCTTTGATTACTACGTTTTGTCAGATAACTTCTCTGATTACTGCGTTTTGTCAGATAACTACTCTGATTGCTACGTTTTGACAGATAACTTCGCTGATTGCTACGTTTTGTCACATAACTTCTCTGATTGCTACGTCTTGTCAGATAACTTCTCTGATTGCTACGTTTTGTCAGATAACTTCTCTGATTGTAACGTCTTGTCAGATAACTTCTCTGATTGCTATGATTTGTCAGATAACTTCTCTGATTGCTACGTTTTGTCAGATAACTTCTCTGATTGCTTAGGTTTTGTCAGATAACTTCTCTGATTACTACGTCTTATCAGATAACTTCTCTGATGCTATGATTTGTCAGATACTTTCTCTGATTACTACATTTTGTCAGTTAACTTCTCTGATTGCTACGTTTTGTCAGATAACTTCTCTGATTGCTATGTCTTGTCAGATAACTTCTCTGATTTCTATGTTTTGTCAGATAACTTCTCTGATTGCTACGTTTTGTCAGATAACTTCTCTGATTGCTACGTTTTGTCAGATAACTTCTCTGATTACTTCGTTCTATTAGGTTACTTATATCTCATTACTACGTCTTCCAATACCATTTCCATTCAGAATTATAATATTATTACGATAATAATATGACACGTTGCATTGAACGGACTAGAAGGAAAGATTGCCATCTTTTAATAATGATATTATTACAAATTATTATATATTAAATGATAATAATTTCAACTCTGAACTATGTTAAAATATGTTTCTTTTTCAGCCGACCGGCTTCACAATCTGAAAATATATGTTGGTGAAAGTGAAACAAGTTTTGAACTTGTCCACAGTCGTGAAGAGGTTATTGGTGAATCATGCACGGTGAACTTTAACCCCTCTGTCCAGGGTCGATATGTCAAGCTTCAAATAGAGGCAACTGAGTATCTTACAATTTGTGAATTAGAGGTTTATGCTGTGATATAGATTCATGAGCTTATTTTTAAATTTATAAAATGGATTTATTGAATGTTTATTAAGTAATTTAAAGCAGCACGCCTTCAGATTCATGCTAATTCTCATGAATGTTTTTAAATGAATTAAAAAAAGAAAATAATAGTGTCAGGCGAACAAAGATAGTGATTGCAACATGCAAACGGCTCTAAGAAACTACCAAAAATACATCAGAATATTGATAAATTGCCGTTACCGATCGAGAGTTAGTCATACAGTAGACGTATGGTAATAGATATTATAAATTGAAGCATACAACATGAGCCTTTTTCTTTAACTGTGAATATTTTTACCTTTCTTAAAATATTATTACAATTTTACTCAATTTTAAATTTTAAAAAATGTTTGCTCATCTGGAGGCATGCGGCTTTAACAATCGCCATAAAACTAATGTCAGATACTGGCATTTAATTCAATGGAAGACATATGTCGTATCTGTCACAAAATTCAGTCGTATTATTCTCCTTTTTAACACTTTCATGTTTATACGTGTAATCATACATTATAAATATCAAAATGAAGTATACTCCCTCTTTCCCTCTCCCTCTAACCCCCTCCCCCCCCCCTCTCTCTCTCTGAAGTAAATACGTGTACCTATTTGAATGCGTCAAACAACTTACGAACTTCCAGGTTTAATGTATGTAGAGAATCCAATTTGAGGATAATTAATTTTAATTTTGTTTTGCTACAAAATGAATCTTATTTTAAGAAACTTTTTAAACTCGTTTTCTTTTAATGTAAAAAAAGCTGTAAATCTTTACCATCCAGCATTAAGTAAATTGAAATTATCCAAACATTTAAAACGAAAAGTTAATTTATTACCCCTCACTTTTTTCGTAATGTTAATTTCCCAAAGGCCTCTGGGAGTTATTCTTACTGCTAATGCAAGTGTACCACGTGACTAAGAATTTTGTACTGTTACATAGGTAACAGTATTTTTTAACAGTATAAAATCTGGTCACGTGGTCTATTTTCTAAATAAAATGAAATAAAATGGCCGCCATTTTGTTCTCGATTCATTTTTATTTTCGACGATAGGGCATCGCCGAAGTAACTATTACTCTCATAAAATTTAGTTCTTTGCACCCTAGAGTTCCTTTCGCGTATAAAATATCTTTTTGTTGAATAGTCAACCGGAAACATCCGTTTTCAACGGAAGTAATTGTAATGTAAATAATTTTGTGTCAAACTGGAATATGCAGACAATTAAAGCATGCATCAAAGGATAATTAACAATTTAAACCAGTGAAACGTTACAGATAGAGTTGGTGGACAGACATCAGTAGGATCATAGGTAATCGGCGCGTTGATTGGTCACTACCCCCGCACCCCCTCCCCCCTCACCCCCACACCCACTCTACAGCCCTCCTACCTCTCAAAACCATGTAAAATACAGTATTTTTCATTTGAAACATGTTTTAATATTTGGTTTATGCTTTTAATTCAATAACCTTCATTTCCTACAAAAAATAAAAAAATGATACATATATATTTAGTAAAGGTATGCAACTCGCCGCTCAATTTTCAGCACTCATCTTAATATGAACTCCATAACTTCAACATTTTTTCACCAATTTTCAATATTTTGGTACCAAATGGTAGGGAATTGATTACTCTTAAAGGAATTAAAGTTCTCATTACAATCATTTCAAGTTATAAGAAGATATGTAATCTCGAAGTCACCGCAAGTGTAACTCGACAGTGATCTGACCGCTGGGTTTTCTTCAAAATTACCCGACTAAACGGCAGTTTATTCGAAATGAATGCATATTTCATTGTATTGCGCATATAAATATGATCAAATTATATTATTATTTGTAATAACTGTTCAATCAAAACATCTTATAAAACTATAACAAACCTTTTTTCCTATATGTTAAATTCCAAATTATAATGCAAGTAATAGTTCTACAGAGTGCTCTCCCCTTCATTTTTTGTACGGAGTATTTTCATTGGTCTAAGGTTTTCATACGACCAATGAAAATACTCCATACGAATGCTTCCGTTTATACATGTGTACTTTCATTTTGGATTGGAGAATTTGGCATATCGGAAAAAAGGTTTGTTATAGTTTTATTAGCTGTTTTGATTGAACAGTTATTACAAATAATAATATAATTTGATCATATTTATATGCGCAATACAATGAAATATGCATTCATTTCGAATAAACTGCCGTTTAGTCGGGTAATTTTGAAGAAAACCCAGCGGTCAGATCACTGTCGAGTTACACTTGCGGTGACTTCGAGATTACATATCTTCTTATAACTTGAAATGATTGTAATGACAACTTTAATTCCTTTAAGAGTAATCAATTCCCTACCATTTGGTACCAAAATATTGAAAATTGGTGAAAAAATGTTGAAGTTATGGAGTTCATATTAAGATGAGTGCTGAAAATTGAGCGGCGAGTTGCATACCTTTACTAAATATATATGTATCAATTTTTTATTTTTTGTAGGAAATGAAGGTTATTGAATTAAAAGCATAAACCATATATTAAAACATGTTTCAAATGAAAAATACTGTATTTTACATGGTTTTGAGAGGTAGGAGGGCTGTAGAGTGGGTGTGGGGGTGAGGGGTGAGGGGGGAGGGGGTGCGGGGGTAGTGACCAATCAACGCGCCGATTACCTATGAGTAGGATATCATCGTTATTTTCTAAATGCACTTTGTCAAAAACCATGCGAAGAATATTCTGGATGCAGACGGATCAGATTTCACAGATCATAACCTTATAAATGGGTTAGTGTTTTGTTATCTAATAAAACCTAGCTTATTGTATGTTTATGATTTGTAGATGTCATCATTTGCTTAAAGAATAAAAGAAAAAGAGAACTTCTCAAGTAGGCCTAAAGTACACTTAAAACTTAAAAGGTAAGGACAGTTTAAAATTAGTTATTGTTACTCTTGGTTTATTTTTGTTACAGTTAGATTTAGTTGACAATTTCAGATCATCACAGTATTTTTGTTCGGGGGTAATAAAATAAATAACACATGGGTTTGTGTTTAACAGTAAAAATATCACCCCTCGTAAAAATACTGTTACCCTCGGCTACGCCTCGGGTAACAGTATTTTCCTCGGGATGATATTTTTACTGTTACCCACAAACCCATGTGTTATTTATATACTGTTCTAATATAATTAAATTGACTAAAAAGTAGAAAAAAATGTTTATAGAATGTTACACATGTGATAATGTTTGACTTGTTGATGCTGCGTATAAGTTTATACGGAATTTATTACGAGTTTATACGGAATTTATTACGAGTTTATACGGAATTTATTATAAATTAATACAGAATTTATTATCAGTTTATTCAGACATTTTATCAGTTTATACGGAATTTATTATCAGTTTATATGATATGTATTAACAAATTATACGGAATCTATTATCAGTTCATACGGCAATTTATTATCAATTTATACGGCAGAGTGTATATGGAATTTATTATAAGTATACGGGACTTGTTATAAGTTTATGCGGAATTGATTATAAGTTAATACGGAATTTTATTTATCTTAATTTGCGTTCTCATCATGTCGATAAATGTGTTTTGATAAATGTTGGAAACATTATTTCATATATTTTAATTTCATATACATGTACAAGGGACATACGTTTCTGGCTTAATAGCCAATCTTTGGGTAACATAATACATACTATTTAATTATATCTTTTTTGCTGCTTATAGGTGTATGTTATATGAATGTTGATGTATGTGACAAATAACATGTGTTTGTCTATTATATGTTATTTTAGTTTTGGAGTGCTATATGTTGATATATTACCTGTCAAGATTTATCCATCGTCAAGAATGTACCCAACGGGGAAATTTAGTGTGTATATTACCCGTCTGACTCGGTAATATCAATTTCGTTCGGGTGATCAATATCCAATCAAAAAGGCGGAAAACATCTGGAAGGGTAATAAATATATATGTATTTCCCTGAGTAAATCGATACGACACATCGTATTAAACGAATTATTTTCATTGCGTAACTTACATATCAGATGAGAAAAACTTTAAATTTTATATTTCAAAGAAAGCTATATTGAAATATGAAAACGAAATGAATTTAAAGTTATTAAAACAAATACAATTTGGGAAGAAGGGCGTATGTAAACAAGTTCTTTAGTACAATTACTAATACATATTTAAATATAATCGCCGAGTGAAGAAAAACAGTGCAACAAGAACAAAACAACCATCCTCTGCAAGTTTGTGTTCAAATTCTTAATTTTGAAATTTGTTGCACTGACTCAATTAAATAAATTTGTAAGCTAACAACTAGTACAACTATCTCATATTAATCGTAAATTGGCCGTTCGGTATAATCTCTAATGATTGATATATGTATTTCCTGTACTGTTTATATCTGTGTAATAGGAAAATGAATGCGAACTATCTTTAACTATACGAAAGTATACAGATTTCATATTATAAAAGTAGCCCGCCAATGTATTCTTTGGGATTCGAAAGTGGTTATAAGGGAATATAGTTCGAAACCATTGACGTTGGGTAGTCGGATACAAATGTTCCTTAAATAGTCAAAAGACATTGTATAGCTATAGTGGGATTAAAATCTCAAGAGTCTTGGCTTATTATTACTTTTATAATTTATGTTTTTTACTGTTGAACGAGCCGATAAATATATTTATGAAATTATAATATATATTTTTACAAACCTGTTCCCAAAAGATGTGTCCTAAAGACAGCGTTTTACTGACGTACTTACGCCTAAGATTTGCGTAAGTTATAACTTACGTCTGACTTTTTACGTAAAAGCGTTTTACTAAAAATTTGCGTATGTAAGAATTTCGTAAGTTTTTACGTAAAGTTACGCTTACAATTTGTTGACTTAAAACATACGTATGTAAGACTGATATCATCTATGAATAAGGGCAGAGCAGGAAATTGAGAATTTTAGAGACGGATGTGATTGGTAATATATTTCAATGGTGAAAGGGGCTCTAGAAATGTATAGTCTTAGTAAGGAAAGGATAATGTGGCTTTACGGACTTATCAATAATTAAATTTAGTGAAACAATATACGAATATGGAAATCGTCCTATCAGCTTAAAGACGAAAGTCTTTTAATCACTATCTTCTTGTCCAAAAATATCCTGGTATCACATACCGCCCTTAGTCGTGATTGACGTTGACCCAATGCAGTATAAATCAGTTGTTAAGTGTTTTATATTATTTTACTTTTGATGCTGATTTATTGAGAATTTTACAAATGGCATATAAAATTAACTGAAACTCAGTAAATTTCATTTGTTTTATACTGTATCAAGTAAATGAAGACGGAATAGGAGAGCATCTCAAAATGATGATGAACTTAATATGCCCATTAATTTGTATGATTTGCAAATGTACATAAATTATCTGTTGCACTTTATTATAGCAAATATTCAGACATCATTACTTCACAAAGAAACTGCAATGATGAGTAGAATCGTTAATATCTTTTGTTTGCATGTGGCATTTTTGTGTCATCTTTTTTACGCATGTTTTACGCAAG